AAAGAGTTAACCAGCTTGGCTATTGGAAGACATTCGTAAACTATTGTAGGAGCTATTGGAACCCTTTAGAAAACTCTGTAACCTCAATCTCAAACCTCCTCGATGCTTAGCAACTCCACCAATTAACCCAGTCCTGCTCCCCGAATCGACTAGACCATGGTTTTGAGCGGACACCATAATTTGGCAAAAACAAGTATCTTCTCGCGGCATCACCTTCCTACCCTCTACTTGGAACTCCATCGTCAAATACTTACAATCCACCTTCACCTCCCCCAACGTTCACAGTCACTTCATCCCCAAAATCACATCTGTGATGCCCAAATCGAAGGAAAGAAAATTCGTCATCACCTCTAAGCCCTGAAGTGTCAAAACTAACCACTTGCAAATTCCTTGATATTTCTCTACATTCTCTGTCCCCATCACGACGTCGAAGCTCACTATAGTCACCAAATCCAACCCTAGTTTCTCCACAACCTGATTTGAGATGAAGTTATGTGTAACCCCGCTATCCACCAACACCACAATCAGTTGTTCCGCAGCCCACCGAATTGAGGGACACCTCAGGCACATCCAACTACAGATGTTCCTCCACCGCCTCCTTTGATTCCTCAATCTCTTTATACTCCTTCTCAACTAAAAGAATCTGAAAGACACGCTCTTTGTAGCAGTGTCCCGAGGCATATTTCTCGCCACAGAGGTAACACAATAATTTACCCGTTTATCATGCACTTCTGCACCTGTAAGGGCTTGAAAGCACACCCGAAACAGCTTCTTATTCTTCCTCGGCGTCTCTTTCTAAAGTAACAACGTCTGGGTCCTTGGTATCGTAGCTGTCAAGGTGCTCTTATAGAATACTCTAGAGTTACTGCCATTGCTGGTTTTCTTCACATGTTTCTTATCCTCCAACATCTGGGAAAGTTCCTTCATTCACCTCAATCCAAACGATCTCAGGGGTCAGATGGCTGCTCGAATGTTGGGCTTTAGACCTTTCAAGAAATTCTCTTCCAGTCATGCTGTAGAAATACCCCTCAACCTCCGGGACACGAGCTTAAACTTTTCCCGGATTTCTGTGACAGTCCCCTCCTAAGTCAGAGCATAGAATTGCTTATGTGGGTCTCCTTCCCAAATGGCTTGAAAATGCTCCAACAAGCAATCCTTAAACTCCTATCATTAATACATTGGGTACTTTGCCTCCATCCGCTTAAATCATGCTAAAGTCTTCCCTTCCAAGAAAAATTTCATTGTCACGAGCTTATGTTCCTTAGTTAACCCATCAATTGCAAAGTACTGATTAACCTGATACACCCACCCATGTGCATCCTCCCATTCGAGATCGACATCTTCAATTTTCCAACCCAAATATCTCCACCACAACTTCCTCTTCCTCGCCCAATGTATCTAGGGTCAAGCTAACCCCTCTAGTAATAGTCATACCCAACTTCCGATTCCCTCCTTCCTCCGTCATGTTCTTTCGTGCCCCTTACACCATCCCTCCCTCCTCCAATTTTTTTATCATCCCCTTCCATCGGAAGTCTCCACTCCCCCTCCTCTCTGAGTCCTAGGAGAACGCTCCTGTTGGTAGATGTCATACTCGTTGTCTTCTCGCTCGATCTCCTTCCCTTTTGACCTGGCCAAGGATTCTCTGATCAGTCCTTAGCTAGGGTTTGCAACTGGAGCGATCGACACTACCTTGAATTGTATCTCCATGAGCTCTTTCATCATCTCACGCATTTTTCCCACGCTTTCAAATCCATCCTCCATTCAACTTTCAACGGAAGAAAACCTGTCCTCCATGGTGGCGAACCTCACTTCCATTCCTAATCTGATTTGTCCTAACTCTCCTTCTAGCACATCCACCTCCTTTGCTGCAACCCACCAAGATCTATGCTCCGATACCAATTTGAGACGCTCCATAACCAAAAATCAACAAGCAACAATGACGAAATGGCAATAGATAGATGAGAAATTCAAATGAGGGCTACTCTTACAAAAAACAAATGCAAACAAGCAAGATACAATGATGATGATCTACTTTTTTTGAGAGGCAGGTCGGCTCTCCAACAACCCAAGATGACACTAGGAATACCCCCAAGAGAAAAAAACATAGCATCTGATAAAAACATGCATAAAGAAAACAAACTTTAGGTTCCTCCCCTTCATAGAATTTTTCCACAACACTTGAAAAACTTTCCTCCCAAACTTTCCTCAAAACTCACCTAATTTTTTCTCCTAGAATATGTGATTATGGTCATAGATGACCCCTCCCGCTCCTTTCCTTCTACTAGAGCCCGCCTTGGCCGCTCCGCCTCTTCACACGGCAAAGACCGAACCCTGCGAACCGACTAGGTTGCTTTCGGCCAGTCAATGATGGACCGGCTCAAGTCTGGCTTGAATCAGCTCAAGTCTGGGCGTAACAGTTATCTTGTTCACATTTTCTTCACATCAACACCTAGAGAATACCCAAGCGGAAGAAACCACTAGTACATATTAGTATGAAAGGAAAAGAGGGGTTCTCATTCTGTTCATTAGCAGATCATTGGAGATCATGCAAGTCCATCTTAACCCTTTTTTTAACTCTTCAAATGATACATGTAGTGAATAATTAATTAATTCTTGTTGTCTCATTCTTGCATCTTTAGATTTTTTTTTTTTAACTTACGCACATACCCGAATATGCTATCCCTTGACACTAAATCTTGTGGTTCGAACAAAGCACCCAACTACTAGGCCAAGTGCGTCACACATTCTTACATCTTTAAATTGCCACTTTCATTTTATCGAATTATTTCAATCTGGTGGCCAATTCGTTTAGTTTTTTAACTCGCACCCGAATGTGCTATGTCTTGACACTAAATCTTGTGGTTGGGCAAAGCGCCCAACTACTAGGCCAAGTATGCCGCACATTCTTACATATTTATTTTGCCACTTCCATTTTATTGAATTATTTCGATCCTGCAGGCAATTTGTTTAACTTGCTTGAGTACAATTCTTGTAGATAATTCATCAATCAAATTAATCTTTTATAAAGTAACTACCAATTTCATTATGCTTTGTCTAATCATGAAGGATAGAGTCCTTAGAATTGTTGATAGTATTTTGTCACACCTCTTGATTATTAAGTTGTCATAAAAAATTTTAAATCTTCAAGTAGATGTTAAGCAAAATACCCTAAGAAAATAACATGCGTCATGGTCCTGAATTCAACTTCAATATTGTTATACGTTTCCGCATATGAATGAACAACTTGATGTTGATTTATGATTTACATATATATCCAAATCAGCATCTGTGAATATCTCAACACGTGTCAGTCCCATAATTCAAGTAACCCGTTTTCAGCTGTCTTTTTGAGATACCTTAGTGCATATATAACATTAAGACGTTTTCACGTTCCTTCGTGAAGTATACATAAAAACAATAACAGCGCAAAAAAGAAAGCATAGGTTAGAACTAGTGAAAGATAAGTAGATGAGTTTCTCATAACCATTAATACCTTCCTTTGTTAACTAAGGTAGAAAATTCATTAATACCAATCTTATACGATAGATTCATTGGTTTATGTTCAAGTTTACACCCAAGCATCCTTCAGCAAGTCCAGGATGTATTTCAGTTGGGTGATGGAAATATTTTTGCATGATCTTGCAATTTCCACACCTATAAAATATTTCAATAAACCAAGATCCATCACTTCCAATTCATTAGCAAAGATAAATTTAAGTTTGGTCATATCATCTTTCATGATATCTGAAGGATGATATCATTAACATACAATATCATGATAAAATTTAAAAGAAAGAAGATTTATAAGTCATGTTATCTGTGAGAATACCCATGTCTTTAAATCAATACGATTAATTTGTCAAACAAAACTCTTCATGCCTAAAACCACAAAGTAATTTCATGGTTCAACATAACTGGTTTTAATTACTATTTCAAATTTAGAAGGAAATGTCATATAGACTTCGTCTTGTAAATCCCCATCATGTTGGCATTTATGTTACATCTAGAAGATAGACTGACCAAAGTCATATAGCAACAATAGAAAAAACTGGCCTGATATAGTTCATCTAAGCAATCATGACAGAGGTTTCCTAATAATCAATCACATTGGTTTGAGTGAAAACTTCTGTCAGTAATGTTGCTTTGTATCCAGTGGACATTTACATCAGCTTTGTATTTTGTATTAAAGATCCATTTGCATCCAACAAGTTTCTTTCCTTTAAAACATTTTGAAGGCTTCCATACATTGTCTTGCAAAGGGCTGTATTTCTTCATGGACAACAATTTCAACTCTGGTGAATTTAATGCTTTTGGAATGTTTCTTGGCATTTCTATGTCTGCAATATTTGTAGTAAAATCATAAAACTTTCAAAGATAGTTTATCAGAGAAAATAAAATAATTGATCAAAAAATAAAGCCAATTTTTAATACTTCTCCTAGGAACAATAAACATGCTAGATTATTATTCAAAATCACTATTAACTTATCATTATGGATTAATATCATGATTTGGGTAAATCAATTGGTTTGGTTCAGCAAAAAGCGTTGTTTGAAAGTGTGGATAGAATTACCATATTGCCAGAATAGATAATCCATTTGTATCTCGTTTTTTTGAGTGTGATCTTTAAAAGTTTGAGATTTATATGGGTGGCACATAGCTAGATTTTAAAGAGGTGGAAAAGGAAATGCCAATAATATAGAGCAAAAATTCGCACAAAACACACTTAAAAAGAGAGTTGAATGTATAGAAGCATGGAAGATAAAGAATAGAGAAGTATGGTCGTAATAACATGTTGAATAATATGAGAGAAGAATAGCATATCTTTTATATCCAAAAATGCAAATAAGAGCATTAAATAAAACACCAATGCTTTCATAATCAACAGAGCAAAGGTAATCAAACAAGATTTTATAACCACTATGTCCTGTTAAAAAAGACATTCTGAAAAAAGCCATGAATGCATATACAAGAAGACTCCAGAACAAGAAAGACACCGTACCATCTTCTTGCCATCATTATCAAACAGATCATTCGAAGATAATCCAGACTGCCTGGAGTTTAAAGAATCAGCATCAGCTTCCAGGTCACCAGTTACAATACCAGCTGCAACATCGCTTCCACTGGATGTACTGCCTGTGCTGCTGGTGCTACTACAGCTACTATTACTAGTGCTATTACATTTTCGCTTCAGTCCTCTGCCACTGAAATCAATCCCAAGTGCATCCAGGAACTCACTGTTCCACGTGATTTCATATAACAATTTGAGCCAAAGTTAATACGAAGTAAATGGAAATCATACATCGAGCTATGGACATATATCAAATGACAGAGTAATTAAGTGACATAAGTTGTTTTTTTTCTTTAATAGTGAAATAAGCTGTTTGTTGCACATTCATCATCTAGAGAAAAATTCAAGCACTATAAACATGAAACTCAAAATGAATCAAGCACCATTTACAGCAGTACTGCAGTGCTGCAGAACAAGTAAATAAACTAAAGATATAAACAGCAACATACAATTCGCAAGTACCAATGCTACATCACAAATTTAAGGAAAAAAACATCTTCCAATTCAGACTTGATTTTTAAACGTAATGCTGAAAAAATGCCAAGAGCGATTCCAAAAACTTCCACCGGCAAGAAAGTATTAATTGCTTTTCTCAAAAAAACTGTAGATACAAGTTACTTGTTTATTCATTCAACATTCACAGAAAATGTTGAATTAGAGAATCTGTGTGGGAATTCGAAATTAATAAAGCTCCGTAAATTCTAAAATTCTGTCTTTTCTCTCTCACAGAAAAATAGTATATTAAAAAGTTTAAACTTTTAAGATACCATTCACATTTAGCCCGCTCATATTGTACTACTAACACAGTTTCGCAAAAAGCTTTGAATAGAAGGATTAAATTTTTCACAACCTTGATTGGGAAAACGTGTATGAGAGATACAGAAAAATGTACCTCCAAACTATGACATGCAAAGTGTAAATTTTATTTTTATCCTACATTTTAATGAATGAAACATTGGCACATGTTCATATACAGAAAACTGCAAATTATTTTCTCGACATATATTCCAAAAGTTGAGCTCAAAAGAGAGAAGGATTATTAGTGCAGAAGACCAGTGTGCAGTCAAATTTTTTTTTCCAAGAATATACAAGTAAAGAGAAAAATATGAGCTTTGATGAGATGATACAACACAGTTAAAAAATTTTGCACGTCATCTAGGGTTCATAAAAAATAGAAAAAAAAATCAATTTCATGTGGGAAAGACAGAAGTGCCCAAATAGATAAATTTTCAAACAAAAGATCAGAGCAATTACCAGAACTGAATCAACGAAACTAAAGTAATTATCAAATGTGTTGCACTAAGCAATTATCAACGCATTTGTTAATTTTGTAACTAAGAGCATGACAATGATGATGGTGGCCGATAAGGACGAATGTATTGTATTCCATCTCATTATATTGGTGCATATGGTTTGGAATAATTTTGCTTTGATTCTATTTGAGTTAATTTTCATAGTAGTTTTCTCTAATTATTAGCATAAAGTTGATCTAAATTAAAAAGAGAAAATTTTAAATCTATATGCATAGCATGACAAATATTGGCTGTAATTTTTACATATGGCAGAGGAAAATTTATGGCTTGAGAGGTTTTGTTTGCTTTAACCTTTTTAATTTGTGCTTTAGAACTATAATGGTGAATTTCTATTAGATGAGAAGGGCAGCGTGTGTGAGCATTAATGCGGTGTGGCATAGAATGTTTTGTTGCAGAAACTCCTGATTTCCATGGATTGCAATGAAAGATGCGCAACATTTGAGATAGATGTGATTTGTGGCTTTCTGTCAACATGTTGGCTAATAACAACAATATGTTGACTACTTACTATAAGAATTTTGGGATTTAATTTAAATTTGCATTACAATGACTACGCAGCTATATCAACTAATTTGGGGAATGAGGAGCCCATAAATAGTCGCTGAAAGGCATATAATTATAACTTAAGAATTCAATAAAATTTATCTTTCCAGTTTCAACCAAACGAATGCAAGCTGGACATTAGATTACTTTGAGTGTAGTACAAGCGGGACAACATAATCTCAAAGGTATTAGCCTAGTGGAAAAGGAGTCAGCAAATAGTTGTTTTAAGGCAAGTAATTACAACTTTAGACTTGAATAAAATTTCTTCTTCCAATCTTATAAGAACAAGTTGGATAATTGGTTCTTTCGAGTGCGATAAAATGTGACAACCTAATTTGTTCATTTTTCTTATTTTATGTAATAAGTTGATATTCATAGGACTAGTGCACTTGATTTCGCTCAAATTTTATAAACTCAATTTACAAAAATCAATCTACAATTGCTCCCTTGATTTAATGTCTTATTGAGCTCTTTCTAAATTTCTCATATTATTTCAATGATTCCATATAATATAACTTTTAATCTAAGTCAATGCTTTTAAAGCGCACTTAGAAGCACATTTCGCGAGCAAATCGAAGCAAAGCGTTTGAGGCCCGCATCGCTTCACTGAAGCGCGCTTCGAAACGCTGAAGTTAAATTACAGCTTTTAAGTTATTAATAATCATAGTAATCTATTAGAAATTGCTCAAAATTTTAATTACTAGGTTTATCCTGAATATTTGCCTTCAAATTAAGAATCGTACTAGATTTTTTTCTACTTTATATCAACTGAGTCGTACTTTATATTTTATAATTGTTAATAAATGTGTTTATACATTGATACTTTTATATAACCTAATAGCGCTTTGGTTAATAAAAATTTTGCTACACTGTGTTTTGCGCTTTGAAGCAAAACTAAAGCCTTGTGAATTGTATTGCGCTTTGTGCTTTGAAAACAGTGATTCAAATATTGTATGCTTCATTTAATGAAGGCAAGTCTTCAAATGATCTGGATTATATTTGTATGAGAATCAAAAACATTTGTTGCGTATGATCACACCATGTGTCACATTAGTTGCATTAGGAAACCCTAAGGCATTCTACATCACTTAAATTCCTGAAAAAAAAAACCCCTCATGTCCTTATCATTACTAACAAGACATGAAAATCAATAACTCACCGTTGTAAAAACTGGGATGAAGAGGAAAATGTCCAAAATGGCCACAACTCTTGAAGTGATGCCCCAGCCCAACCTTTGAGGAAGAACCTGCACTATAAAAAGTGAGGGAATACAATGCAAAAACCTACAAACTGATATGAAAAGATTGACATAATGAAAGCAGGTACCTTTTCAGGGAAGATCTAGCAAAGGCTCTGTGCAAAACAGGAACCAGCACAGACTCTGCAGAATAAATGAATGTCCTTTCAAGTACAGGAAAGGGGTCAGATTGCTGGCTTTTGTCTGAAGAAACCACGCAAGACTCTTCAACATTCGGATTTATTGCATTTAATTCTCGACTACCATTTTTTTCCTGAGCGTCCTTACTAGATGTAGATGGACAGCCAAGAGTGACTTCAACAAAGCAGCTTTGGCCCCTCAATTGATAGCCAGAGGACAGCGTGATAGAGGGTAAACCATTTGCGCTTTCATTACCAGCTTTCAGTTTGCTGAGATAATTTTAGTGGTAAAGAGAAGAAAAAACAGAGACTCATTTATACAAACAAGTTCCAAAATCTCAATGTCTCAATGAAGAAGATTCGTGGAGCTCAATGAAGAAGATTCGTGGAGAAAAAAAAAAAGCAAAGTGGATCTCTGACAATTAGTGCCATCAAATTGTTTTCCAATTTGCAAAATCATATAGAAGTGCATGCTAATGACTTACTTGGCATACACTTGCTTCACAAGGTCGGTAGGACAACACCCGGTAAGCGTGCCTCGTATTCCATTAGGAGAAACAAAAACTGTAAAATAAACATATCAGCCATAATTAAAAGAGAAAGAAAGGTCCCCGATCAAGGCAACTTAAGTGGTCACCATCGAAAAAACAACAAAAACATATTTTGACAACTTCATGAATATCAACATTGCTAATGCATCTCATTGGTACATCCTCAAAGACTATATAACGTCCCAATAGAGCAACAAAGAAATAATCAAATAGAAGTGCATTTTATGAACAAAGTTAACTCAGACAAATCTGACTACAACTTAAACAAGTGTTGGGAACTGTCAAGGGGGAAGTTGCACATAATATATGTGTAGAGCATAAGATGCAACGGTAAAGAACGATAAAATCAACATGGTAACAAAGAAGCAACGAAATACAAATAAAAAGAATGAAAAGCGAAAAAAGGATTCATGAGGTTGATTACAAATAGTTGGATAATGCTAATGATGACAATGATGATAAAGAGGTAATTTAAGGAAGAAACACCAAAACACCAGAAATTTGTATAGAAATGCTTTACAATACCTCTTACATCTTAAGTTTCTAAAGCCATAAAAAAAAATTAATGGATTTACATGATTTTTAGAAAACTAAGCAACCAATCTAGCTGAATATAATGATCGTAAAAAACTATACTAAAATCATTGGCCTTGTTTTATAAATCCTTATTTCTCATGTCAAGAGCTAATATTGTTATAACTCTAGATATAGAAACATAATTTATAGCTTATGTCATATTTATCCTATTGATTGTATTTAATTGACATTTCACATTTCCTCAATCTCCCATCCATATTAATAAATAAGGTGGGCATTCATTGTATAGACCAACGCCACCCACAACTTTGTCTTCAATATGAGCTAGAGCTACTTCCTCCCTAACGCAACCATTTTGCATATATAATAACTATTAAGACTTCTTGGGAATTTCGAGTCCACTCAATACCAAAATTTTGCTAAGCATGTAAGTAAACAGATAAACAAAAAAGAAAAATAAATCTTCTTAACTCAACATGCCACTTTGCCAAAACCAAATTATTATAGCATTCTTCATGCCACTTTCATCCAAACTAGGTGTTCGTAAAACTCTCAATGGTGAGATTCGGCATCTCAAATCAGCCAATGGGCCATGCCAAGATCAAAAACTTACAAATTATCCCTTGATTTAGCTTGTGTCAATTGATTCAAAAAAGGCACATCCCCAACTATAAGAAATATTTACACAAGTAGCAAAAACCTAATTTCAGTTTAAATGCCTACTTTAAAATGAATAAAATTATGAATCTAAGAAAAAAACATTGCCCATATATGCCATCAAAAGTATGTAAACTACTAATACCATTTCTACAGTAATCCATGATGGTTACATATAGTTATTAATCTAACACTAAGAAATGCCTTCAATATTAATCAAATCCTGCTAGAATTGAAAACAGAATAAAAGAAAGAAATGTTAAAAATATAAGAAAAACATCAACAGACAAGAAATAAACAAGCACACCGTCTTAAAGTACAAAATCTATGTTGGTGTAATTATTGAATTTAGTTATAAACACTAAGACAATAGTAGATCTCATGTTGCCACCAAATTCACCTAGTGTAACAGTCAATAGTTTAGAGAGTGACTAAGATAAGCCATACAAGTTCGATGTTTAAGGAGTGATATTCAAATTCTCTATGGAAAATATATGTTTCCTTCACGATCCTAAGTGCACTTTTGCTCCAACTATAGAAATATAAATTGGCACACAATTCAAATCATTAAAGGAAAAAAAATTTGAGGCATATATTAAGACTCCTATTATATTCATATATGGAAGAATTAGTTTGAGTTATATCAGAACACAAGAAGTGACCTATTACTTCCAAAGTATGAAGTATCTATTAAAAGTGTATAATGACAAATCACCACAACCATACTCATCAGGTGCAACGTGCCGCCCAGTACGAAGACCCAGCTAGACCAAGACGAAACTTATTTATCAAAAAACATGACGAATCTCAAACAAAGGTTGCAGCATAGACATCAATAAAATTACAATTTTATCTTCAGTGTTGAAATAATCATGTATCCATGACCACCACATTTCATCTACAGCAATCTAGAAATCTGTAGCAAGCACCATTTCATCTCTAGCAATCCAGTAAATGTGGACAACATCACTCAATTTCAGTTATGTGGTTCTAAACTCCAGAAATAAAAACTAGCATTCAAAGATAGTTCGATTCTCAACCAATTTATAATCCACTCTGCTCCTCTTATTCTAATTTTCAAAACTAAGACACGAATAAAATTCACAACCAAGATCAGCCACATTGACAAGTGCATAAATACATTGGCCTTTTCATATAAAACGGGTGTAATTGGTTTAAAAGGAAAACACAAGTTGCATGGCACATGCAAAGGGCTGACCCACTTATGGACAAAAAGCCATCTTCAACTCAAGCCTGTAAACTCAAAAGGCCTGTGGCGCTGAAAATGAAATAATATTATAATCATACATATTTTTCCTCTTCTACTTAATTAAATTTTATAAGGTGAGTTCTTTAACCCACTAAGGTATATATTTAGCATTCCTACATGAACTACGTTCCTTTGTTAAAGTTAAGAAGAAACAAGAAAATTAGAAGATGAGGACTTCAATATAGATAATAAATAATATATACATAGTTATGCTTTGTATGATATGATGTAAATATTGGTTTTTATGAAAATCTGCAAGAGTAAATGGTTTATAAAACTTACCAGTTTGTAATTAAAAGTTAATTTCCCATTTCCATTATATACTTCTTGGTTTATAGTAGCAACGTAAGTGCCATTTAAATGATATAAAAGATATTTTATATGACCCGAATAAAATAATCAGCATTTTTCCAGACATGCATTTAAAGTGACGCACTGCAAAAAGAAAGCAATTTGCACTTCAGCCTCAAGCAGTCACAACAAGAAGTCAAGCAATAAAGCACGTGAAAAAGCATGAGTGATTCTGGTTCCCATTCTAATACACTTTAGGGTTCCAATTCCAGTTTAGTTTAATTAAAAAGGTTATTAAAAAAGGGGAAATAGTCGTGTAGAAAATATCATTTCACGACACATCTCATCAACACAGTAGCATCATCCCCCTCTCATGCACTCAGCTTCTTCTCAGTCAAAAGTCCCCACTATCCCAGTCAAGACAATCATCTCTGTCAAAAGAGGAATGTCAATCTCCATCTCCATCACAAGCATCAAGCCATCGTCACGAATTCCAATCACTTGCACTTCCTCAGGGTCATGATGCCAGTCTCCTTATCCATTGCAACATCTTCTGAATCTTTCTTGACATCTCTTTAATTCATACTAAGCGATAACAGTATATTTATTGTCATGTTTTATAGTTATTTTTATTGGATTGTACTTTGAATAAATGAATAATTTTTTTTAATAATTTTTGATAAAATTTTGTTTATAAATCTTTGTAGAATTTCATTTATATTATTTCATATTTGGGGTGTATGTTTAATTTCTATATTATTTTGCTTGTACATTTGATGTGATACAAATAATTTCATTTTTTTTTTTTATTTGATTGTTAATTGATAACATTTTTCTATTCTATATATTTGTAAAACTTTGGGTCAAATGCAACTAATGAGTGAATACATGATGGATTAAATCAAGTTAATACACTAGCTTTAAAATTTTAATCTTTTGTTAACTACCATATAAAATAGAAATTGTTAATAAATTCTATATTCAAGTTCACTTAGAAAATTTATCAAAAAAGTTGGTATGTGTATCTTTTTAAAATTTATATCAAGTTTTAAGTTATTCATCTTTTAAAATATTTAATGTATATCTATCTTTGTTGAAAACTATCACTTGGTGTGATTTATATATACATGATATCTAGGTTTCAGCATTAGTCATAAAAAATGTCACTTCAGTTAGCACATCGAAGCCAAAAAAAAAAATGCGCATCTCATATTCACATTACAATTGCACTTTGAAAACACTATATATAATAAGAAAATGTTTTTTATATATTTATGTATTTATTTGTCTGTGTTTGTGTGGGTGCATGTTCATGAAGAGTATAAATACGTGGATGGAATTTTTTATTCCTATTATGAGAACAATCGTTCCCCCACCTTTTAAATTTTATTTCATGAATTTTAAATTCAAAATCAAAATTCGCTTGGTTATAATCGTAATTAATATAGAAGAATTTTTCAAAAAGTAATACATGGCTAGAGGAACCCTCCCCTTTTATTTTTCCTGTGTAGAGGCGGTTTAATAATTAGAAGGCTTAGGTGTCAATAGGTATTTTCTAAAAATACTGAAGAACTGGGTTAGGAAGTGGGACGTTTTATGAGTTAGTTTTCAGAATATCCTAAGAGACCTTGGGTCCAACGGTAGATTCCCTAGTTTAGAAGTGGAGAGGAAAGAGAAAACCATACTGAAAACTTAAACTTTGCCAAGACTGATTTTCTAAGATCCTTGTCCCTTCCCTATCCCCCAAGCTCAAAATATAAAAACGGAGAGGTGTGGGTTCTTGCTACAACCAGCTTTTAGAATCAGATTTCAATCACTAGTCCTCAAGTATTGGTAAATTTCTTGGTAGATTTGCATCAGAAAAAAAGTAATGATTTTTCGTAGCCCGACGTCAAGCTAATACATATTTTTTTATGAATTTCCATTCCAAACCATAATAGCGTATTTCCTTAATGTTCTTGGGAGTAATTCACTGCATTCCATAATACCTTCGAATTAAATAAATGTTCCTTAATAATAATGTGATTTTTTATATCATTGATTGGTGAAAAAAGGGCTTAAAATAGAGCCAATGAGTATGGCCAAATTACATATGTAAATCAGTGATGAGATCTTAAATTCTAAAATTGTATAGGCTTGTTCAGTTTGCAGACAAAAAACAAAATTAGAAGAACGATAAAAAAATATCATAAAAACATAGTGCATAAAGAATAGAATCACAAGCAATACTCAAAATATATTTTCCAAGGAAATAGTAAACA